CAGAAATAATTTTTTTTTAACTCCCTGAAAACCAGAACATAATGAATAAGCATTTGCCTTTTTTATGAGGTTGCATCGAGTCTATAGAAGAACACTAGGAAATGACCGAACACAACGTTCTTAATGAAAAGAAGAGGCCATCTTATGCAATCGTTATCAACATTTTCTTGCATGAGCTCCTCGTAAACCATGTCTCGTTCAACAAGTAGCTCAGTTTTGGTGTCAATGTGTCTTTTTGGACCAAACAAAAGCGTGTTTTGGACAGGGATTCATTTTTACGATCTCATGACCTTTGATATTAATGTTTAACTTTTTTGTGTTGCTTCCTTTCGCCTCTACATATATATCTAAATTTTTTGTATAGAGTTGACATTTTTTTCTGTTTTATGTATTGCAGCTGTTTCTAATTTTAAAAACTGAAGAGAAGCTGTAAATACAGTTTCGAAATGCTACTGTATGGGTTTTACTGTTGACAGGTCTCAACAAAGTCTTAACAGGAAATCGTTGATCTCCTATAGATAACCTCAATGAAAAAAAAAAAAAAAGAAAACTAGATCATTTTGTTCCATATTGATGGTATGGTTTGCCTTGCAGTCCTTAAACGAAGAGCTTTAGATTACGTCTCTTTTTCTAAGGGGGGAGGGGGAGCAAAATAGTCGACACTTTGCTTAAAAGAATCAGTCGTTCAACTGTATCAATTGCTGATTAATTTAGAAAGAGGTCTGTGTCTTGTGCAGTGCTTAAGGAAAGTTTAATGTGGGGCAGGCCTGTGTGTAGCCATGGGTTGTCGAGCAAATCTATGTTTGAAACAAATGATTTAGCAGTAAAATTGAAAATGTTTCAGAATGGAAAAGTAGAGGTCTCAAAACTGTCACGGGTCACGTTGCCTCTGTACATGATATTTATCAAGAGAGGCGAGGTCCCAAACTTGTTTAATATAGATTAACGATGATTTTTTTTCTTTTTTTTTCTGAAATCTGGCCAAAACGAAATTGAAGAGAATGCCTTGTGGAGGTCCGGTCTCCTGCAAGGTTGGGTTAGGAGACATTAATTTCCCACACACGTTATTACTGTGTGATGAATGTTCTCCCCTGGATGGGCACTGGGCACTCATTAGGGGAAGGGCAAACAGGCCTCCAAACGCGAACAATAGAAAAAGCAAAAATTGTTTCTGAGAAGCTGACTTCATCAATTCCCCAATGAACATGTTTTAATTATCTCTTAGCTATCTATAGCTATATTTTTAGTTATTATTAACTGCCTCCCGTTTAGCTCAATGGATAGAGCGCTGGACTGTTGTGCGGCAGGTCGAGGGTTTGAGCCCCGG